CAATCACACACAACCCGCCACACCAGGACCCCTACGAAGCTCAAGCTTTGAGGCTCTTGGGTAGTCTTCGAAATTCCCAGGACCGGGGCTATACATGTATACATGTATCATAATATATATCTATATATTATAATTATACATGTCTATATATATATATATATATAAATATATATATATATATATATATATATAAATATATATATATAATCATATTCCTGCGCCCGTCGATTCACGAGGCCAGTTGAGCTTCTTCGTGCCTTAATCTTCAACCAACTACCAGAAATCCTGAACCCAACAACCCGCAAACCCTCAACCCTGAAACCTTACACCTTCCTAGAAGATTTAAAACTCACCTCCCAGCTTTAAATTCTTAAGTTCTATAAACCCTTGTATCATTAAATTCGTTCGTGGGGAACGCCACTCAATCATGATTCTAGACGAGGAGTCTGGGATTTCACTCAGATGTGATTGCCAAAGAAGGTCGCTTGCATGTGTGTTCACTAGTGGTAATATAATGTATCTACCTATAAATTGACCACCACCCATCTAACTCCCTTGATCCCTGAACCCAAAAACCCTTGGGCCCTAAAACCCTAAACTCGGAACCCCATAACCCTAAAAACCCTTAACATATATATATATATATATATATTATTTAAATTAATATATATATATATATATATATGTATACATGCATATATATATGGCAAAAGTAGTGCTCGACATCCTCCTGCATGGAAGGAGGTTCGGCCGCAGAAGACTGAGGAGCCCAAGCCAAAGAAGGACGAACCCAAGCCGAAGGACACGGAGAAGCCAAAGCCAAAGGACTCGGAGAAGCCAAAGCCCAAGGAGACGGAGAAGCCAAAGCCCAAGGACACGGAGAAGCCAAAGCCCAAGGACTCGGAGAAGCCAGAGCCCAAGGACGAGAAGCCAAGGCCGAAGGACGAGAAGCCAAAGCCCAAGGACACGGAGAAGTCAAAGCCGAAGGACGAGAAGCCACAGCCCAAGGACTCGGAGAAGCCAAAGCCCAAGGACGAGAAGCCAAAGCCGAAGGACACGGAGAAGCCAAAGCCCAAGGAGACGGAGAAGCCAAAGCCCAAGGACTCGGAGAAGCCAAAGCCCAAGGACTCGGAGAAGCCAAAGCCCAAGGACACGGAGAAGCCAAAGCCCAAGGACTCGGAGAAGCCAGAGCCCAAGGACTCGGAGAAGCCTAAGCCCAAGGACACGGAGAAGTCTAAGCCGAAGGACACGGAGAAGCCAAAGCCACAGGACTCGGAGAAGCCAAAGCCCAAGGACGAGAAGCCGAAGCCGAAGGACACGGAGAAGCCAAAGCCCAAGGAGACGGAGAAGCCAAAGCCCAAGGACGAGAAGCCAAAGCCGAAGGACGAGAAGCCAAAGCCCAAGGACACGGAGAAGTCAAAGTCGAAGGACGAGAAGCCACAGCCCAAGGACTCGGAGAAGCCAAAGCCCAAGGACGAGAAGCCAAAGCCGAACGACACGGAGAAGCCAAAGCCCAAGGAGACGGACAAGCCAAAGCCCAAGGACGACAAGCCAAAGCCGAAGGACACGGAGAAGCCAAAGCCCAAGGAGACGGAGGATCCAAAGCCGAAGATCGAGAAGCCAAAGCCGAAGGATACGGAGAAGCTAAAGCCTAAGGACACGGAGGAGCCAAAGCCGAAGAAGGAGAAGCCAAAGCCGAAGGACACGGAGAAGCCAAAGGCAAAGGACACGGAGGAGCCAAAGACGAAGCGCAAGGCTGATCCGGCGCCAATCGAGAGGCGTGTGCGCCAGAAGTCTTCGCCCCGCAAGGCCCGTGGGTGTATAAGGTTGACGCTTTAATGGGTCCACATCATGTCCATCTTTAGCGATCGCATATATAATTTAAGCTTTGTTAATATTATAATACCTGCATAATTTATATATTAATTAATATATTGCGATCGAATGGATCGACATGATGTGTATATATAGTAGTTTATAATGTTTTCTTGGGTATACATGCATGCATGCCTGCCGGTGGCCGAGGTTATGTTGCAATTCTATAGGTATCCTTGTAACGTGGATCAACCTACGTTCGCTTTGCATATCCAATAGCTACCGCACCGATCCAAGCCATCCCGACATATACGTCAATTTTCATATTCATACGTAAAGTTTCATATTCATGCTCACTGTATAGTTCGAACCAGGGAACCCTAATCCATAATTTAAGTTACACTCCCCAGTAACTACCAGCCCGACCCAAGCCATCCCGAATAATGTGTGCATGTGCAAGAGCTATTCTGATCATCGACCGTCGATATATATGTCGATCCTTAAATATAACCCCGCTTAAGCATTCCCTTCAAAACCACACTTCCTAAGCAAACATCCCGCTAGAAGGACGAAACCCTAAACCCAGAGCCAAATCGAGAAGTGTACCAATGCGCACATAACAGCATCGGTATCCTACTGCGGTATATTTCCTGCCTCGTGCATGAGGAACCACCGATCCAAGCCATGCCGAACGGGTGCATGTAGATCCTCACTAATTGGCACGGTCCTTATATATATATATATATATATATATTATTTGAACCCTAGCGAAAACCGATATCCTGTGGCTATATGTATATCTAGGAAACTACACTGTTCGATCCATGCCATCCCCACCGTGTGTATGGTGCTGTCTGGGTCCTATAAGATAGGTCTTCCCTAGTGAAAATCGATGTCGTGCTGCTGTATACTTTCTGAGGAAGTAACACTTGGAATCAATTCCGAACATGTGTAGATCGACACAAACTAGCACATTGACAATGCTGTCTGGGTCCTAGGAATTGCCTAGCGAAGATTGATATCCTGCTGTTGTATACTTTGTGAGGAAGTAACACTTGGAAGCCATCCCGAACATGTGTAGATCAACACAAACTAGCACATTGACACTAGCTGTCTGGGTCCTAGGAATTGCCTAGCGAAGATTGATATCCTGCTGTTGTATACTTTGTGAGGAAGTAACACTTGGAAGCCATCCCGAACATGTGTAGATCACCACAAACTAGCACATTGACAATGCTGTCTGGGTCCTAGGTATTGCCTAGTGCAAATACATATCCTGCTGTTGTATACTTTTAGAAGAAATAACACTTAGAAGCCATCCCCAAGATGTCTAGATCAACACAAACTAGTACATGCATAATGCATGTCTTTTCCTAGGAGTGGCCTAGTGGAAAGCGATATCCTGCTGGTGTGTAGTTCCCGAGGAAGTAGCACTTGGAAGCCATTCTTAACGTGTGTGAGATGAATATCCACAAATCGAGAAGTGTACCCCAGAATCGAAGTGGTCGTGAATGCCGGCAGTGCTGTCGCAAATTACACTATTTTCATCATGGCTCCAGAAACACATTGGCCATTGGCATGCATGTGCGGCGGTGTGATCTGTTGGAAACTACGAGACGTTCTTGCGGCATGTGGTATTCGCGAACTATACGACTATCATATATATACATATGTTGATCTATATCGATCGATATATTAAATTAAAATTCATAGGGATTCGGGGATCCATGATGGGGTTTAGGGTTTGGGGTTCTGGCTCAGGCTTCCGAGTCCATGTGGGGATTTCCGAGAATAGGGGACCATAGTACCCTAAATAGTGGGATCCTTATAGAGAACCCAAAATCAGGTGCCCCATATTTTCCGAAACTCCCAAACCCTAAACCCTACACCCTTTATGGAACCCCACCCTTATCTCCCTTTAAGTTCAGGAACCCTAATATTATCGATCCTTATAAATATCTATATATATATATATATATGGCCAAACCCCGATCGAATTTCTACGGTATTTAGTTCAGCGCCTCCAATCGGCGCATGTCCCACATCGTGCATTGGCTCGGCCGGTCGACTTCATGCCTTTGATTTATGTAGGCTCGGTTATTATGTATTACATGGGCTTCTTGGGAGTTTGGCTGTACCAGGGCATAGGCACTCAAGGGTTTTGGATGCAGGGGCTCAATGCTTATTGTGTATAGGCAACGATCGAGGGCTTTAGGGTGCAGGGATTCAATTAAGGTGATGAGGTCGGAGGTGTAATGAGTCAAAACTTATGAAGGTCGAAAGAGATTTGGGGTGAGCGCTTAGACCCTGGAGGGTGCCGGGGCATTCATATCGAAACCTTGCCAATTCAAGCTTGTCGGAGCTTGGGGGCTCTGGTCCCTGAAATATGCCAGAGGTACTTTGAGATGAGAGAGCGAGATATACAATAAAAGGTTGCAGGGTAACATTATGATTAGTTCAGGGGCTTCAGGGTTTTAGGCTTTGAGGGTTAGGATTTAGGGTTTTGGGTTTTAGGGTTTAGGGCTTTAGGGTTTCAGGGTTTCAGGGTACTGGCTTCGGGTTAGGATTCTAGGCATTAGGCCTTTAGGGTTTAGGGTGCAGTCCCGATCTTAACAGACCGGTCATGATGCTTCAGGGTATTAGGCTTTGAGGGTTAGGATTAAGGTTTTGGGTTTTAGGCTTTAGGGCTTTAGGGTTGAGGGTTTCAGGGTACGGGTTTCGGGTTTAGGATTCTAGGGTTTAGGACTTTAGGGTTTATGGTGCAGCGCCGATCTTATCAGACCGGTCATGCATGCTCGGTGCAGGATGATGAAGGATCTGCCAAGACGCCCCAGGAGGCGAGCGCGGCTGTCGTGGAAGGAGTCTGGGATTGCCCTATATATATAATACAATGCTAGCATGCTGGCTGCATGCAGCCGATGTTTCCGATTAACATGTCTTTTTGAGAAAGCCCGGACATGTATAAGCCGTAGAACATGAACCCCCCCTATATATATATATATATATGTATATATACATGAACCCCTAATTGCATGCATGTGCTCCCTCTCAGGAAAGTCCGATCCGGGAGATGTGCAGTCAAGACCCAAAAACCAGCGGCTCCGAATCATGACGCCAGAGCAGAAGCAGCAGCTTGAGGCGATGCAGAAGCCCTCGGAGCCTTGGGTCGTATGGTATATGCATGCATGCAGATCTTCATTGATAGCATGCAGCCATTAGCTAAGGATATGCCCCGGGATGAGCGAAAGAGGGGCTTCTCCTGGTTGAACCGCCAGTGCAGAGTTAACCCGGAGATGGCAGCTAAGTTCAAGCTCCTGACCGATGAAACTGCCAAGTGACTTGTCTCATCGTGAACCCATGCGATGTGCCCGTGAGACGGGACACATAAGATCTAGTGCATTGACACCCAGTACAAAACCATACAGGCCCCATAGCGACCCCATAGCTGCATGGATGTTAAAGCCAAAGCCGATCCAGAATACAGCTGAAAATAGATCGTTATTAAATCATGCACCCGATAGTATATCATATCTATGTACCTTCGAGGCCTTCACTGGATCCTAAACACCTAAACCTACCCCCGGCCCGAAACCCTAACCCCCAACGCTTATTGATCTGTGAAGCCCTTACCGTCGAAGCCACCCCCCCAACAAAAAAAAAGAAACCCTCGAATCCCGATCGATCGATATACAGTATGAAATTAGTCTTGGGAACTGCATGCTGTGCTGAAAACAACAGACCTTAATGACCGAATAATACATCCTGCTATGCGAGCAGCTACCACAATGAAATACATATATATATATATATATACATTAAACCCATCCTTTAAATATGCGGATTTCCAATCCCGTATTAAATCAAACCCCAAGACTCCTGACTGCAGCTATGAGGTTCAACTTCTTGCAGGAGGAGCTCCTTCGCGAGGGTGGGCTGGATGTGCAGACTTCGCAAAAGTACAAGGATGAGTCTCTGGACGAGAACAAAGACCGTTACAGAACGGATCCTGGAATGCAGCAATTTAACCACATACCCTAAACCCCGAACCTTAAACCCTACACCCTAATCCCGAACCCTAATCCCGAACCCTAATCCCGAAACCCTAGTCCCGAACCCTAAACCTTAAACCCTTAACCCCAAAACCCTAAACCCCTGACCCTAAACCCTATATAATTATATATTCCTAAACATATATATATATATATGCATACCTCGTCAAACGATCGAGGTGACGATGATGCAGCTGCGCAAGGAGTTCCCGGGAGAGGATGGTGAGGAGTTCATCAAGATCATTACGGCAGGTGCTTTGCCTTTAAGAGTCGTGCAGTGGACTTTGTATTGTGATGTCGCAGAGCCCTAAACACCTAAGCCTAAATCCCTATGTGTGTTTGCCCTGGTTCTGCTGCAGGACAAGAAGGAATTCCACACCCCCAAGCTCCAAACTTCGAGCCTGCTAAGCGCTACAGAGTCTTGAAAGACACGATGAACGATCGTGGCAAGGTTCGAAGCAGTCAGACTGAGGCCGGATAGTTTTTTGCAGTACTTCTTATATCCAAAGCCTCTGCACACCCCGAGTCCTACGCTCAATGATCCCAAAGCGAGTCCAAGCTTTAGCTACTACAATATCCCATAGCTCAAACATCCCTTAAGCGCAGGCCCCATATTTCCTGTCCCAAGTCCCAGCATCCTGGCAGATCGAGATGAGTGGTGTGGTCGCCGACGGTGACCGCGCGTCCTTGGAGCCCGCTCTGACGGATTTTGCTGAGACGCTGGGCAAGTCGATGGGCTCTTTCGAGGAACTGCGAATCAAGCCCAAGAAACAGGCCAAGGTAACTTGATTTGCATTACATGGAAAGCTCAAGACCTATATCCTTTGAAGTCGTTTCCCAAGGCCACAAACACTAAACTGTGACTGTCGCAAGCCTGAACCCTCGAAGCCCCAGGTCTTGACCCCGGAAGAGCAAGCCGACAAGAAACTGCAGAAGATCTTCAAAGGGTGCTCTGGCCACTATTCAATACCAGGGATTTATTAAAATGTATATATACATATATATATATATATATATGCATAGGGTAGTTCAATTTTCTAGGGGTCCAGGATTTAAGTTGCAGGGTTTAGTGTTTTGGATGATGGGCCGGGTTTTGGAGTCGAGGCTCGTCACTGCAGAGAAGAAGCTGATGACTTTGGTCGAGGAGCTGAAATCTGTGCCCTACTCGGAGGAGCTCCGGCAGGTTTTGACGAAGTATGTGGATGATGTGAAAGTGATGCCGAGCGAGTGGGATAAGAAGATTCATCCTGCGAGCAGCTTGGAAGACAAGCTCTCTGCAATCAGCCTCCTCGAGGAGGATCTAAAGCCTATCAACGAAGGGATGCGAGAGGCCCGTCGGCGGATCGGCAAGGCACCAAAGCAAAGCTCAGACGCCGAAACAGATTAAAGGCAACTCAGGTGCAATGGTATAGATTTTCAAGGGCGATCTTTCTAAGCCCCATTCCACTAGACAGTACTCCCGATCGAGACAATTCCTATAAACATCCGATCGAGACAATTCCTATGTAGAATCATCAGATGTACTAGCAAACCCTACACTAAACACGATAGTCCACCCACGTGTATCCCTTAATTTCCCCAACGATCCTTGCAGGCACGTGTCTGCTGGGGCCTGGATGGGCCATACCGCGTGGGCTTCTGGTGCCTGGGTCCTTTGCGCGGACTTCTGGGTAAACTAATTTGGGATTGACCTGTGGGGTTAGGGGGTCTACAGATCATCTGGACTTACCGGGTTGTCAAATGAAGACTGAATATAAGAGAGCCGAGTGTTATATAGGGTTACAGGGGGCCAATGCAGGAGTGTACGCATGTAGAGAGTAAGCACCGTTGACCCGATATGAAGTTAGACCGCATTGCTCGATACAGCGGACTGACACCCTCCGAAAGCGATCTAACTAATTCCAAAGCCCCACACTCCCAAGTCCAACTCCTCAATTAATGTATATATATATATATATATATATATATATATATGTGTGCACATGTGTGTGTGTGCAACAATTAAGCCGGAATTGAGCGACAACCCCCACGGTACCACGCTGCTGCTAAGCATCCTAATCTGCAGAACAGCATAACTCGGATACATATAACAATTAATTAAATAAATAAATATATATAATATATATATTTTTTTTATAATTATACTATATAAATATGTACTGCCTGTGTACACACACACAGAGTCATTGTCGCTCTCTCTCTCTCTCTCTATATATGTATATATGCGTATTCGATCTAAGGTATGGCCCACGGATGCTGCTCGATCACCTTTCGATCTGGATCGATGGCTGGCCGGTGTCACGTCTGCAGTACCTTAGGGGCATCACGTGTGCTCCAATGCAGTTTTGGTTTTCGCCCAAACCCCTTGAACCCTAATTTTAAATTAAGCCTCATGCCCTAATGTTAACCCCTACCGCCGTATATTGTGCATTAAACCCTAGTGTTTTAGCGCAGGATCAGAACTTCGATATCTTGCGCCGCAAGTGCACTGTGCTTTTGGCACCACAAAAGTTAATTAGTTGAGAGGAAGTTGCACGACCTAATTGGATGTGTGCATGTGGACGCTTACCATATTCCTAGTGGAACAGACCGGCTATGAAGAGCTGCTAGCAATAAGGGAATCGGGCGGCTCGAGGTTTGATCCTCGGCCTCGTGTCTGCATGCATTCAATATGCACTCAATTAGCTCAAGTCTGATCGGATTGCTGAGGTGTGCAAGGTTGGGAGGGGTAGGATATGCCAATGATGTTATTCGGTCTTATATTTATGTATATATATATATATATATATAAATATAAATATTATAGCTACAAGCCGATCAGATGTCTGGGCCGGTGTTTTGAGGACACTGCACGGACTCTGCAGTCATGGCTGTTGGGTTGCTATCCAGGAGTTTGAAGCTCGATCGTATAGGGTGCATGATCTTCTATAGGCTATCGGCCTAACTCAAATACAAACTCCTGGTCGGCATATCCCCGGGGCCTGTGGAACCTATCCATAGGCTTCTGACTGAGCAGTCTGGGTGTTGTTATGCGAATAACTCTGCAATCGTGGCTGTTGGCATGCCATCCCAGGCTAGCTAGCTCGATCTGGTCTAGAGCATTACGTTTAATAATTAACCTGAAACCTTAATTATAAGGTTGCCCTATAGGCTGGAATATGTACTTCAATCATGCCCCTGGCCGCCATGTCTCCAGCACCGGTGAAGCGCTTCACCGAGGATCGCAGTCGTGGTGAAATGACCTTTGCGGATTAGGGCATGTTACAGACTGCTGGATGTCTGTTGGGATGAGTATGCCTGCATGTCTTAGCACAGAGCTCCCCGCATGCAGCTTTTCAGGAGCAGGGATCCAAATCAATTCCCGTGGACTAAATATACAAGCTTTCATGGACAGCTGGCCATATGCATGTGCACCTTCTAGCTGACAATAGTTCGCAAGCTTAGAGTCCCCACCGCTACATATATATATATATATATATAGGAACATTCATGAAACTAGGCTTATCAAACCTCGCACTACAGAAGTCGTTCCTGTACAGCTGAAGTGCCAGAGTCTGTTAGACAGGTAGAGCGAAAATCACAGCCAAATCCCTGCGCCCTGGTGAACATGGATCCGTATCACTCCCGTCTAACATGTGTAACTTTCCCCTATCTGATGACATGGGAATATCTCACAATAAAGCACCAGACCCAACACCCGGAAGCCCATGTGTACCCCTATAGACAAACCCTGATGAGAGCTTAAACCCTTAAATCCTCTATATATATATATATATATCCTAGCCCGAACCCTCAAAGCAATAGCATGAAGAACTGCATGCATAGGAGGATAAGCCTTAGTTCTAAAATCCTATAGACCCCGAACCCCCTCGTCATCATGGACTTGGTGGAAGAATTGTTGGAGCTGTCCGAGCATTTGACGACGCGGAAGATAAAGCAAGTATGCGACAAAATAGCCGGTCGCATTCCTCATTTGATGCTCCCGTGACCGGAACGCAAAGATGTGTGTGTGTGTGTGTGTGCTGGTTTGCTCGGTGGGAAGTCCAGATTTTAGTTTGAGGCGAATCTTTAGTGCGTCCTGGCCGAGGCGCAATCTCGTCGATCTTGCTTCGTATGAAGATGATAGGAATGTATATCGCAATTTCCAGCGCTGGGTGCAGCGGCAACCCTGGCGGAAAGGCCTTCCGGAGCCCAGGGAGAATCCCGGTTTCATGGAAGAATATATATATATATATATCTAGTATAAAAATTATATATATATATATATATATATATGTGTATATATATATATATATATATACAGTCGACATGTCGACCTGCATGTATATATATATATATATATATATATGATCCGGGGGCAGTTAGAATATTCAGCTGTTATAGCAGCGGTATTAGTCGCCGTGGCTGGGTCTGGAGGTTTAATTTGAGGGATTGCATGGTTTGGAGTTATATGCAAAATTTAACATGCTCATTAATTGATGTGCTTTGCAAGAGGCTTCAGATTCGGTCTTGTCGCGCTGTATGTTAACCGAAGCTATATATTCCAAACCGGTATTCGACCTCGAAATTTCTACGGACCCTGCACCCAAAACTCTAAGCCACCAGTTTTCCTTAACTAAGATCATTAAACCCTATAGATCACCCTGGAGCTCGAGCCCTCAAAGTCTGAACCCCGGAACCATAAGGAATGCCCCGGCGAACCCTAATGAAATTACTGACCCCTATAATTTATGATCTGATCCGAACCAAGGGTGGAGGTCACACTCAAGAATCCGACCACGGCTGAATTCTATGTGGGCAAATGGCATATGCTCTATCCTCACGAGATGCCTCGCGGTCAAGCAATAATCCGCAATGTTCTTGCTAGTCGTTCCCTGCAACTGAAGCGGCACATGGCAGATCTCGTGTGCCCCACACCAGCTAAGGATACACACGATTTATCATTATTCTGAACATCGATTCAAGAAATTTTTTCTTGGAGAAGATGGAGTGACTCGTCTGCACTATTGGTTTTGAAAGCAATCTGATCAAGACATTTCTAGGGGAACAGAGCACAAGCTAGAGCTAAACGTGGTATAGTGGTTCCCTGAATCTCGCCCTAAGCCACTGGCAAATTAACCCGTGACCCATGACCTTCCAATCCGGAGATAGCCCGGAGCAAGAGTGCCACGAGCTCCTCGATGTCGCACCTCATGCCGGTTGAGATTAATTCTTTTATATACGAGTTCTGTGTTGGGGAATGTTCCCTATAGAGGCCTCTATATAGAAAGGATCCTAAACACTAAGTCCCTTTATCCTGCCCTATATATGTGAACAGAGAAAACATCTTAAACACTGATCGAGTCCATTACCCTGCCGTACATGCGAACATACGCTCCGAGCATGCTATAAGTGAAGCAACGAAATGGCCTTGGCATGGCATGAGCCTAATCGCCCAAACCCTAATTAAGATATAATTGCGAATCCTCGCTATGTTGGACACTCCTTCCATATGAGGGGGTCCCTCTACCGCACCATGGATAATGCAAATTATGGTTGCTTGCGGGTATGCTGTATAGGCACTCAAGGGTTTGGATGCAGGGGTTCCACAGTGAGCTTCGGGTGACCAGGTCGGAGGTACACAATTTAGGTTCGAGTGATATGTTAAGGCTTAGGGTCAGGCTTCAGACCTGGAAGAGTTTGGATGCAGGGGTTCAAAGATCGGGGGTGTAAAGCTTTATATCGGGCCCAAGACTTCGGATTCGATTACTATCGGAGCTTTGGAGCTGTCGGCCCTGACACAGAAGTAGAAATAGGGTTCGGGGTTGCGGTTTACTCGGGGAGCGATGGTGTCGGGGCTAAGAAGCTTCGGGGTGGAATGCTTGAATGATAGTTGGACTGATTCCATATATATAGCCATATAACATCACATGCCCAGGAGCTGGAGCGATTCTGGCAACATGCCAGAGGGACGGAGCCACTCGACGCTGCACTTTATATGGCTACAACGTTGCATATATATATATATATATATATGTATATATATATGGGATTAGAGGCCGGGGTTGGGTTAATCTTGAGGGTTCGGGACTATGGTGCTCTATAGATATATAGATTATATATAGATCGACGCTGGGAATCTACTATGTTCAGGGTTTGCCATCGAATAGCCGTCTGGGATTCAATTCCTGATATCGATCGTGCGTATGCTTGCTTCTATGGCTTACAGACTCAAGGTCGGGGTGCTATTATTTCCGGGGCTCGGGTTTTAAAATTCTCAATTCCCGGAATTAAAGCAGCAAAGTTCTCGACTCAGCGCTTCCTCATATCGATCGATCGAACTATCCGTGCTGACTTTGTTTGGCCTTAGGGTCTATATCGGGATACTGGGAACAGCATAACTGTCGAAGCTGCACTTCGAAGAGCTGATATCTATCCAATAGCTACAGGGCCCAAGTTAATACAACATATAACCATTGCCTTGCAGATCGATACTCTGCCTGTTCGGTCGCAGAAACCTGAAACGCCTTTCCTAAAACTATATGTGCATGATGTCTAGCTCTGGTACAATCCCATAATGATCATCTGCCTAAACAAAACTTCAGGGATACCATGGGCAATTAACACATTGAGGTGGTTCGAGAACCATCCGTGGCTCGCCTCGCTTTCTGATCCTGGGCGGCAAAAGGCAGCGTGGACCAGCAGCGGCTGTATCCTGGGTTATTTGCAGTATGGTTTCTTGATTTAGATCGGATCGGGGATGTTTGATCTGAGGAAAACGAGCTGCTACGAACGGTGCCCATAGAAGTGCACGGCGATGACGCCGAAGCTCACAAGAGGCGAAGCTTTTTGTGCGTTTCTATAAGAAGCCCCATCACCCGGGGGAGCACCTACGACGTCCTGTTCCCCTGCTATGTCCTGGACAGTGACCAAACAGCCCCTGGAACCGTGACCCGGTGCTTGATTCATAATCGAAAAGCCTTCGAATAGGAAGGATGGTTGATGAGTGGATTCATGGATATAAATTGAGGTTGGGACCACATCTGTGGCCACGTAGGGCATCGTGCGGTAACATCTGTAGTTCTCAGCCAAGGCCAAGCAGCTCGATCATTACCTCGTATGGTCGTTGGCGCAGCTGGCTGCCGGCAAAACCAGCCACTACGACGCCTGGGGTCAAACGCTTCCCGGTGGAGAGGATGCTTGCGTAACTTTATGCGGAGGCTACCGATTCGTCTGGGCAGGCATGAAAGGAGATCAGCAGTGGCTGAAGAAATGCTTGCAAATCGACCAATCCTGGGTTTCGGAGCAATGCTGCTGGTATTGCAAAGCCACTGGGTCTGAAAAAATGGTATCAGCTCCTAATAAGATGTTGGGGGCAGCATGTTGTGATAAGGTTCGAAGATCCTTAATCACCTATATATAACATAGCTGGGATCGGGAATTACACTAATCACGCACATCGATCCGAAACAACTATCGAAAGGCCAACCGCCTTACCAATTCGCCACTGCTCTACACTGCGCATGGACCAGCAGCTCCGCACCGCCAAACGAATGCTTGCTGCACTATTGCTTTTGGGTCGGATTCAGGGAGTGACCTGATCCCAAGACAGGGATGGGATGGCTATAGGCCGCCGTACAAAGAAACCGAATACTAAGGATGAGAACTTTCCCCGAGTTTATCGCTCTCATCGCTCGATCTCCTTGGGCATACGTGGGCGGCGTTTCCTTATCACGAATATGGCCGGACTTGCTGCACATTTTAGACTTGGCACTGAGTCCGGAGGCAGCAGCCAGTGCCGCTGGGCCGGCATCCATAGCAATTCTAAGACTCCGGGCCTTTACATAATGATCGAACTGATTGGTTCTAGGGAAGGGGTTTAGGGTTTAGGGTTTAGGGAGCACCCTAAACCTTCCCATGTGTGAATTTCCATCTGCATGGTTGGAGTTGCATCTCGAGATCACTAGACCCTTATAATAATTCCAACCCAGGCTCTACTGGAGCTCACAGCCACTGCCGAGCAGAGCCCGTGGCCGGGCCAGACGCAACAATTGCGGCTCTCTGCCGCTTACGCTGACTTCGTGAACATGTGCCGCGCGGACAAGGTTCGTCGCACAGCTGCACATATAACGATTGAAATCTATTGTTCGAAGGGTTTCCATCCGAAGCTTTTGCTTCGTTACCGACTAGGGCCTGCCTTCAGGTTCAACGATTTGGGCTTAACATATATAGACATATATTTGCCAGCCATGCCAGGCTGCAGGTATATAAATAAATTTAGGGTTTAGGGTAATTAGGGTTTAGGGTATAGGGGTTTAGGGTTTAGGGTATAAAAAATATATATACATGCATATATATTTTATGTGAAATATCCATCTCACATATAATTTCTCTCTCTCTAAAATACCTCGGATCCTATACCCCAAGCACCCCCGTCCGAGTTCTTAAACCCGACTGTCCTATAACCCAAGAACCCCTGTCCCTAAACCCGACTGTCCTGTAACCGAAGAAACCCCCGTCCCTAAACCCGCCTGTCCTATACCCCAAGAACCCTCCTAAACCCTCCTGTCCTAAACCCAAAGAACCCTATCCCTAATAGACCCTTTTTCATAGCCCAACTCAGAGCTCAGGCTCCAGAGCACCGCCGTTTCAGCTGGATGCGATCAAGGGGAACAAGAAGAATCTGAAGTTTCCCACGTTCGCTCAGAAACATCTGAGCGGGGCCGATTCTTGGATGGCATTCAGCAACTTTTTTTTAATCGATCTCAAGGATCGATGTACCTTCGAACGATCTAAACCCCCTTTCAATGTTTTTATGATCTGGCCCCGATGCAAGGAGTCAGTGGTGCTTGTGCGATGGCTCGCGCTGGTATGTGCTCGAGAAGCTGAAAAAGATGGCAGCGAGCACAACAAGTTGCGTGCTGCACTGTTTCTGGGTTTGGGCACAATGAGGAAAATCCTCACGTCTGCTGGCTTTTACCTGAATGCCGAGGAGCTGAGAGAGCTGGAGTACTACAACACAATGTATCACTCCGCTCTCAATGCTCTGGCTACGGAAGCCATGCATCATGGTCAGCTGCTGTGGAAGGTCCGGCCGAAGGGCCATCAGCTGGATCATCTTTGTCTGGATGCTGCGGTTCTGATGAACCCCATCCAGACTTCGGCTTATTCCGAGGAAGATCTTGTGGGGCGCATGAAGCGCCTGGCGTTGCAGTGCCATCCACGTCGGCTTGGACTGACGGTGCTGCAGAGGTACTGCTGGTACTGCTGCGTGAGGTGGCTGAAGACTGATGAGTGAATCACAGTTCTCAGCCACCTCATGTGCAGCAGATCCAAGCCTCTGGCAGCTTTTTGCAGCGCTTTTGCCAATACATCCTGGAGTGGTGTTTTTTTTGGGCCCTTACAACTGGCAACACAAGGCCTCGCCTGACAACTGCATCCTGGAGTGATGTTTTATGGGCCCTTACAATTGGCAACACAAGGCCTCGGCTGACAACTGCATCCTGGAGTGATGTGGGCCGATATATATATATTTTTTTTTTTTGGACTGGTTTTTACAATGGTGCCCAAGGCCTGGGAAGCACACACATCCTGGAGTGGTGTGTAGACAAAACTTGTTTGGCTGGCTTGCCGAAGACTGGAACTTCGGCCTGGAAGCACACTGCTACAGCTGGCTCCAAAACGGAGGAAAGTGGATCGTCCGCTTGTAAGCGTGCTCAAGGTGCCTTGAGTGAAAAGATAGATCGGAGGGACGAGTATGCCGAGTAATTCGAGGAGACCCAGAACCAAACCTCCTGCTTCAGACCCAGAAACGAACCCTCCTTCAATCTCTCTTTAGGGTCTCGGTCTTTCCGAAGTTTAAGGGTTCAGGGGTGCTCTGCGTTCTTGTGTAGGAGGGATCCTGCTTCAGACCCAGAAACGAACCCTCCTTCAATCTCTCTTTAGGGTCTCGGTCTTTCCGAAGTTTAAGGGTTCAGGGGTGTTCTGCGTTCTTGTGTAGGAGGGAGGAGTATGCTGACTAATTCGAGGAGACCCAGATCCGAAACCTCCTTAAATGCTTAGACCCAGAAACGAACCCTCCTTCAATCTCTGTTTGTATGCACATCCCTGAGACAATGATCCGGAAGCCTAAACCCCAACGCCTGAGTCCTCACACCTTATAAGGTGTGTAAGCAGTTACAGTGTTTCCAACAACCCGAACACCCATCCCTCCTTTTCCGGGGTCTTCAGGTTGAGGGATTCAGGAGCTCGGGGTTTGTGAGGGACCTGGTTATCCTCGTCATGTCGATTCTAATAGGATCCTAGCCCAACGCCTGAGTCCTCACACCTTAATTAAGCAGTCACAGTGTTTCCAACAACCCGAACACCCATCCCTCCTTTTCCGGGGTCTTCAGGTTGAGGGATTCAGGAGCTCGGGGTTTGTGAGGGACCTGGTTATCCTCGTCATGTCGATTCTAATAGGATCCTAGCCCAACGCCTGAGTCCTCACACCTTAATTAAGCAGTCACAGTGTTTCCAACAACCCGAACACCCATCCCTCCTTTTCCGGGGTCTTCAGGTTGAGGGATTCAGGAGCTCGGGGTTTGTGAGGGACCTGGTTATCCTCGTCATGTCGATTCTAATAGGATCCTAGCATGAGGGAACTAGCACTTTCTAACGGTGGCATATAAGCATGGTTTATGCTATTCTTGAAATGACCTCTTTTAAGTCCCTGTGCTAAAAACACGTGTGTTGGAAGCTCCTGGAGGATCCTACGAATACTTAGGGTACTATACATATGAGGTCCCCTGTTTTCGGAAACTCTCGGATGGTCGGATTCAGAGGAGCACCGGCAACCCCGATCCTGCACCCCAGACCGCCCTACTAGACTCCCCGACACATCGAACACCCTGGACTTCCTAAGCCATTAGTCACTTCAGTAACCCAGATCCCTGCATCCCTAAACCCCATATAAACCCTAAACCCTATAATCCCTAAACCCTATAATCTTTATAATCCCTACACCCCTAAACTCTAAGCCGAAAGTCTACACCCTTGACCCTAAAACCCGAAACCCATGTAGGTCGAAAATTGAATCGAACCCGGCAAGAGAGCCCTTGTAAAAGATGCAGAAAACCCAACCCACAACACCCGTATCAGCTCTTATACAAACCCCTGAAAGACGTAAAAGAGCAGAAGCCCTTGTAATAAGGGGCCTTAGTACTTCAGAACCCGAAGGAAAAATATTACTGCTCCCTAATCCCTAATCCCCAAACCCTATATAATCCCGATCCCCTAAACCCGAATCCCTAAATCCTGAACCCTAATCTTGTCGACTTCTTCCGAACCCTTAGAAGAGCTCTTGGTCGCCGAGAATCTCCGCGAGGTCAAAGGGCATCGCCAGAGATGCCGGTGGGACCGGTGGGAGCGTGGGAGTCAGAAACCTGGTGTCCCTGAGACTCCAATATCCCTTAATTAAGGAATATACCTTCAATTATACTAGGGTCCCAAATATGATTTAAGGAATATTCCTTAATTAAGGGATATTGGAGTCTCTGGTGTCTACGCTGGCTTGTCCTTTATGCGTAGCCTCAGGGTTTAGGATTTAGGCGTTGTGGGTTTATAGGGTCTACAGGGTTTAGGGCTTCAATTTCGGGGGTTTTATCCTTTGCTTGGGGACCGGGGCTGTCACTGTAGGAAATGCAAGGGAGCTGCTGGAGAGGAATACTTCAGCCCTGACATGGCAGCTGGCGTCGTGACTCTCCGACATGGGGTATGGGGAAAAGGAGGGACCCTTAATGGGGACCCCTACCCTATAATGGGCTATATAATGGGTATATAACGGCTATATTAAGGGTATATACCTTGGGGTATAGAGTAGGCACCCTGGAGACTAAAGTACAGTAAGGTTTTGGGATGCACTAAAGAGTACTAAAGTAAAGCTCTGTAGGGACCCGGGACTATAAGGTTCCATTCATTAGCAACTAATGCCTCAACCCGATTTCAGGCTTTCGCGGCGAGGGTTAGGTGTGCGGGGTAAAACCGCTAAGCGTGGAATCCGAAGTCAGAATCTCTTTCCCCTCAGCCGGATCCGGCAGAAGTCGGAAAGGGTTTAGGGTTTAGGCTTTTTCAACATCACGACCCTGTTGCCATTAAAAAGTAAGTAAAAGTAATAGAGAAAGAATCCTTTCACTACCAGGGCGCGCCATGGAGCCCTTATGGTCCTAAGTAGTGGGAATTTGGGGTATATTAGAGGGTAGTTGAGGGTGTAAGTAATCATCCTTATCCCATGTTCCAACTTCCTGGGGTTCACTGTAGACGTGTAAAAGACAGATTCGACGCCAGAAGGTGCTTGAAGGACAATATAAGGGCTTTGATACTTGCATAGGGCTTTGGGATAGCAGGAGGTGCTTCTACAGTAAACTTGCGGCCTTGATAATAGAATAGGGTTTGAGGTATACCACATGTTGTAGTAGTAGCTCTTTTGCTGGAACCTGTATAATGGCACGATTCATAGATCAGGCTTCTACGTTGGTCGCGCCAAGGATTCCCTACTCTGACCCCTAGCATGGTCAACTAAAGCTCATTTGCTGAAACAGTTCTGCCTTCAGATTGACCTTCTTGCCTTAACCGAAAAGTCGAAACCAAGAGAATCGATTCTTCTGCGCATTTTTGCCTAGGGCTGGTAGACAAAAACCCTGCGTTGCTCATCGTCCTTGAGCTTGAACGTCGCCCTCATGTCAGCCAAGATGCCCTTCCGCCTGATCCTCTTCCCGGTCCTGGGCCAAAAGGGACTCGGTTCGCGGGCCCTAGTTGTACTATCTAATTCCGTGGACCCTCTAAAGCAAACATGAGTTGGGTCTTCACAAGTTGAAGGCCGTCAACAACGCTTTCTTCAAGGACCCTAAAAGCCGTAAAATTGCAAGAACACAGAAAGGGTGTTTATCTGGACCCCAAAAGTCTGCAGAATAATCGCCTTTAACAGGTACTGGGCCATTATTTTCCCGACTTTTCGGGGTTCAGGTATCCCTGCTTCCTAAGAGAAACAAACTTAACAGCTCAGCCCTGAATCTTTCTGGTTTAGGGTAGTAGCAATTGCACAACCAGTAATAGAAATAGTAGTAATAGTAGTAATAGTAGAAATAGTAGTGAGAGTAGTAATAGTAGTATAGTTGCAATAGTTGTAATGGTTGTAATAGTTTTATAAGTTTAGGGGATGGCTATGCAGAAGGTTAAAACGTCAAACCACGAAGACCCAAAACGTGAATCCCAGTTCCACGAAGCCGAAAGCACACGAACCCCGAAACAGCATCCACCAAAACCCTCTTCTGACTCGTGAAGGTTATAGGGTGTAGCACTCTCCTGACTCTTGAGGCCACTATGTTGGCCGAAATTCGCGGCCCGCTCGTGGTGATCTGGATGACTGCGGAGAGTGCGAGGCGCGCGGGGACCGCGGCGACCGAAGCCCCTTCCGACTACCTTTGTGCAGGGCTTTCACCCCAAGTTCTGCAGGCTCAGACATTGGGGTTCCTAGATGTTCCTAGGATATAACGCCTGATCAGGGCTTTATAGGTGTAATAACGCTCGGGCTGTTAAGTAGGGTCCTTCAAGAAGTTCTGTATAGCTCTTGATGAATGTGTTCTAAGAGTTTGATGAGGGTGTTCCAGGGTTTCATAAGGATTGACCCGTTTTGTTTGGTAAACGTCTCCAGGGTTACGGCGTTATGCCCTCGTTCAAGGCTTTGTTGAACCCAACCGTATTTACAGAAACGGGCCACGAAGAAGTACTTCAACTTTCTGTCGGATTTATTCGGCCGTTTGAAGCCTTACAAAGCTTTACAGGATTTGATATAGAGTTTTGCATGACTAGCCAGAATATCCCCTTGCAGCCTCTACAGATTTGCGCCATGCCACACCCCAAACCCCATTGAACTTACTTAGGCCAACTTAGGCCCCTATATTCAGCTACCGGTGGTGGTTTCGTAGTCTTGGCTTGAGAGGCTTCCAAGACTTTGAAGACCAACCCCTAAACTCTGAAACCTACGGTTGATGATATAAAACCTGCATTACCCATAATAAGGAATATAAATATAAATAAATAAATATATATATATATATATATATATACACCATAATTCCCAAAGTTTAGGGTCCTTCAGGTAATGCAGGATTTATATCATCAACCGTAATTTCCAAAAATCCGAACTGTTTGGAAGCTCCACGATCCGAAGTCCTACATGGCCCTCATCCTAGACCGTTCTGCCTAACCCTCCCCATGCGGTTTTTTTTTTGAACTCCTTTTTACGTCTGCTCGACCATCCCTCCCCATGCGGTTTAGGGTTTAGGGTTTAGGGTGATCCGAAAGCCCTAAAGCCGAAACTAGACCCCCCCTCCCCCCCGCGAAAAGGGAATCGTACCATCCAACACCCCCGAAACCTTACTTGCTTGCTAAACCGATATAACAACGATACTCCCAAACCCTTTGCCACACAGAGCTGCGCGATCGAGATCTCCTCGCCAGGGCCTTGTCCCGGTATAGAGGTTTAGGGTTGAGGTTTAGGGTTAAGGGTTAAGGGGTCATGCAGGGTTTAAATTTAGGGTCGAGGGTTAGGGTTTAGGGTTCAGGGCTTCGAGCGGATCTCTTTTTTTATCGTAGCCCTTAAAGTACGTAACCCTTCTAGACCCCTTTAAATGGAACCCCTAAAGGACCCCATTCCAATCATTAAAGCTCGTTAAGAAGAGCCCCCGAGGCTTCCACCGAACAGGTCTGGGTTTTTTGGGTTTTTGGGGCATATAATAGGCTTCTAGGGCTGAGGGTGGTTTATGGGGTTTAGAGTTTAAGGCTTGTGGGAGTTAGGGTGTTCAGGGTTTAGGGTTATATTTGGTGCAGATTTGTCGTGACTGTTGGTTCAAGACTTTATGGAGTTCAAGCATGTGCGTACAAGAGTGCGAAGATGTACGTTTGCCATGAGCTTTCTTACAGTTGTCTATAGGGCCTATAGGGCTTTGTTCGGGCGATCGGTACAAGTTCTATAAGGTTGGATTTAAGGTGCAGGACTGCAGAACATACAGGCGGGTCAGTCAGCTCCAAACTATTGCAGCTCCTGAGCCTCAAGAGTTCGGGGTTTCTGGATTCGAGAAATTTTGGGTGTGTTCCGACATTTAAAGATTTGGGCTTTTCAAGATTTTGCGTGTGTTCTTTCGTTGTACTGCTGCGAGCAATGAACTTCAGCTTGCCAACAGCTCGACGACTTACAATCCGACAGTCGTTAATTTAGTTGGTCTTGTACAGCACTACTGTCGCCACCTCTGGCAGCATCACCCCAAGTCACGACCGATCCATCGCCAAGAATAGCAGCAAAAGCGCCGCGCAGACAGGCTCGGATCTGCTGTACGTTCGTCAGCTGACCCTGCACCGCACTACTGTCGCCACCATAGCTAGCACGACCCCAGGTCACGACGGATCCATCGGCAAGAATGGCAGCAAAAGCACAACTAGAGGCTTGAATCTGCCGCACATTCTTGAGCTGGACCTGAACAGCACTGCTGTCACCACCCCAGTCATGTAGACCCCAGGTCACCACCGATCCATCACCAAGAATGGCAGCAAAAGCGCCGGCAGAGGCTTGTATCTGCTGCACATTCGTCAGCTGGCCCTGCACAGCACTACTGTCGGCACCGTACTCAGCTTGACCCCAGGTCACGACGGATCCATCGCCAAGAATGGCAGCAAAAGCAGCGCCAGAGGCTTGAATCTGCTGCACGTTCTTCAGCTGATCCTGCACAGCACTGCTGTCGCCACCATGGCCAGCTTGACCCCAGGTCACAACCGACCCATCACCAAGAATAGCAGCGAAAGCATGTACGGTGGATTGGACCTGCTGCACGTTCTTCAACTGACCCTGCACGGCGCTGCTGTCACCACCATCGTCAGCAACACCCCAAGTCACGACCGATCCATCGCCAAGAATAGCAGCAAAAGCGCCCCCAGTGCCGAGAGAGACTTTGATCTGATGCACATGCTTGAGCTGACCCTGCACAGCAGTGCTGTCGCCACCCCTGGCAGCAAGACCCCAGGTCACAACGGATCCGTCGTCGAGAATTGCAGCAAAAGCATGGTGGGAGGCTTGGATCTGCTGCACATTCTTTAGCCGATCCTGCACATCGCTGCTGTCGCCACCACAGTTAGCATGTCCCCAAGTCACAACCGATCCATCACCAAGAATAGATGCTTGGATCTGCTGCACATGCTTGAGCTGACACTGCACAGCACTGCTGTCGCCACCTAAGTCAGGGCTACCCCAGGTCACAATGGATCCATCGCCAAGAATGGCAGCAAAAGCGCGGTGCGCGGTTTGGATGTGTTGCACGTGCTTGAGCTGACCCTGCACAGCACTACTGTCGCCTCCAGTGTCAGCGGCACCCCAGGTTACAATGGATCCATCGCCAAGAATGGCGGCAAAAGAACCATAAGTGGACTGAGTTTGACATTTGCTTACATGCAAGGTGAGCGAGTCACCGTTCTGAACCCGGGAATTCGCAATCTCTGCGCATCCGTCCAGAACGATTCCAGAAGAGTCCAGCAGCCGCCCTTTCCCAACTCCAAGTGCGATCTGCGCCCTTTGAGTCAACTTCTCCACTGCTTCGCCCAGGCCCGCTTGCACGGTAGCTGTCTTGCCACTGAGCAGTGAAACTTCAACGCTAATCGACATGCTCCACGCAGAGAATGTCCAAAACCCTGGTTTGTTTGCTCACATGTCCGGGATCTGAGATTCTATACTGAACTTAGAACCCTAGCAAAAATTGTAATTTTAGCTGTTTCTTAGGGATTATCCAAAAAATTAAAAAATGTTTCGAAGTACCCCTAAGTCTCACGAGTCCGGGATCTGAGATTTAGGGTTGCAGGTTTCAGGTTTCGCGGTTTCCGACCGAAATCCGACATCCTAGCTCTGGTGCACCAGGCACGGCACATGGACCCCTCTTCTACTGTCCAGTACAGCCGAAATGCCCACGACTTCGCCACCAAACCATCCGGGTAGTTCTCGAAATTAAGGTTCCTGTAAGGTTCCCCCAAATAGTACGGCACCCCTCGAAAAAGGACCGTAAAAGGGACCTACTTTAGAGAACTACCCATTGAACTGCCCATATCTGGGCCGCATGGTAGTTCCTTTTGGGGGTTCATATTTTGCATCCTATACGGTAATCCTTAACAGGAACTATTATGGGGCCTATGACCTATGAGTGAAGCAACCCTGCCTCATCGATGCCCGTGCCTTGCTCCTCCAGTTCCAAGGACACGAGCACAGGATGACCCCCTGGGCTAGTTAGGGTTTAGGATTTAGGGCTTAGGGTTTAGGGTTTAGGACGTCTCGCCGCGCAGCGGCAGTATTTTCTATGTAGGATGGCGCCCCAACACTCGCAGAGGTGTGAGGGGGCGGCATATCTACGTCTAGCGTTCGAATGCGATTCCACCACCAAACAATTACAAATTGGTTATTGAATCTTTCCCACCCGCTGTGAGATCACACAAGCTACCACCCAAAATATTGCCGTTTAGGGTTGGGCTTCGCCCTCAATTCCCACCTCGACCCTGGCTTGCCCGAACCAGCTTTGCCAAAGCAAGGCCAGGGCAGGTGGCCAGGGATAGGGCCAGGAGGGTCAGGGGGGCTAGGGGGCCAGGGGACACCAACCCCCGAAAACAGAAAAGATGCTAGGTCTCCCCCTAGGACCCGCCAGGAGCCCCCCGATTCCCTGGAATCTGCCAGCTGGGGGGCCCCCTGGGCCGGCCTCTGGGGCCTTTTCTGAGGGGGGCCAATTGGAAAACACCACCAAGCGAAAAATTGCGCCTAAAGGCTCAGCTGAATTCGACCACTCTCCAATGGCTCCACCCATTGTCCATCCAGAGTTGGTGTCAATCACTGCCGGATTTCCTTCTGGTCCAGGCACCCTAAAAAAAAGGGTGGGTACGGCCTAAGCAGGCCTGGGTGGGAATTTAGGGTTTAGGATTTAGGGTTTAGCATTTAGGGTTTAGGGTTTAGGATTTAGGGTTTAGGATTTAGGGTATAGGGTTTAGGATTTGAGGTTTAGGGCCGTGGGGCTTGCTATAGGATGTCGGGGCCTAGAGTTTTAGTTGGGGCTTCTGGGTTTAGGGTTCTGATGGTTGAGGTGTCAACGAGCGTCTCTTTGTTGCATGCTTATTTATTGCATGCTGGTAGAATATGCCGTTGTTAGCGAAGGGAATCGCAGTGATGGTTCAGGGGTTTAGGGTTTCTAGGTTGGCCCTTTAAAGCCTCTGACAAATATTCGTAAATAGGGTCCTATGAAGTCCAATAAGGGAAAATATAAAATGTCCCAAAGGCCTACCCAGGTTACGGTTCTCATGATCGATCGGACCTTGTACGTTGAGCACTATGCTTCCAAGCCAGTCATGAACTCGATGGAGATCCAACATTCTCTTCGGACATGATATCGATACTCCTGCCAGACCCTTATACCTTTTAACTACCAAAACCCTAAAGCCGAAAGCCCTAGGCAAACCTTATAAGAACCCTTACATGAACCATTAGTGGACACTACTCTGGGTTTTTACACTAGGCTGTTTACTCTGAAGGCTTTGCTGGCCAGGCGCGTTTGGCTTTGTCATCCTCGACACCTACAGCAGAAAGAATCCGTTTTTGGGGGCTCATTGGGTCAAAATAGGAGGTTTACGGTTTTCGATTGAGGGTTAACCTTTAGGGTTTTAGGGTTCGTGCGTAGGGTTTTGTGGTGGTGTTCGAAGGTTGTTTAACGGACAAAAACGGTATTTTATGAGGCTTAGACTTTTGTTCATTGTCTGCACAGGAGTCCACTGTTGAAGGCTCAGGTTTCATGGATTTAAACCAAGAGTTAAAACCCTGCCACAGGGATCATCCTCTCAAGTACATCACCCTAACCAGAATAAATGCGAGTTTCCAAAAATAGGGGACCCAAATATAGTACCCTAAATAGTAGGGTCCTTATTATAAGGATCCCCAAATAAGTACCCCTAATTTTCGGAAACTCCCAAATCGTAAAAGCGTGTACCCCTAAGCACTAAGCTCCAACGGTCTTGCACCCTTCAGCCCTCAACCCTCAACCCCGAAACCCCTCATCCGCCGAGGCATTTTGATTTAGGCTTCTGTTCGTGTAATTTTCTATATACATGATACGAAAAACAGCTTATAAACTATATCACGTTCAAAAAAGTACAAACACCCCCACAAGGCCACACAAAGCATAAAAGAAAGTTGAAGGCCACGGAAGCGGCGAAGAGAAACGCAGCAGAGATGCTGCTCCGGATCCCCTCGACCTGGGCGGTCACCCAGAAGTCCGACGTCATGAGTTTGGAATATGTTATGATTGTGAGTAGTAGTAGTAGTAGTAGTAGTAGTAGTAGTAGTAGTAGTAGTAGTAGTAGTAGTAGTAGTAGTAGTAGTAGTAGTAGTAGTAGTAGTGGTAGTGGTAGTGGTAGTGGTAGTGGTAGTAGTAGTAGTAGTAGTAGTAGTAGTAGTAGTAGTAGTAGTAGTAGTAGTAGTAGTAGTAGTAGTAGTAGTAGTATAATGCTAAATACTAGCAGTAGTAGTAGTAGCATCAGTTGAAGCATTTGGGGCTTTAGGGTTTGTGCAAAGGCGTTTGCTTGGGATTAAGATTTGGGGTTTGGGATTTAATTACAGGCTTTTGGTGTAGAAAGACCTCAATCAAGGAACCTGAAGGGAAACGACCTTAGTGTTTGGAGTTAAGCGTAGGGTTCATTCTGCCCAGCAGCGTCCAATGAACCAGTCAATGTGGTGGACTTGCAGAAGTTGTTCACCACGCCCAGGAAAGCCTCCGCCAAGCACCAAAAACCCTGAACCCTAACCCCCCCCCCCAACTTCTAGATGAACCTCTAAGACAATGTTCAAGAACCCTACAAACCGAAGAATCCGAAACCCCGCGATTCAAAGCCAAGCTTTGAGTTCAGGCTGTCGAATTTTATCCGAAACCCACAAAACACTCCGGGCAATATCCAGCTTCAAATGCTACGCTGGGTTCGGGACCATGAGAGTTAATTATCATGCTCTTGGGCTTCGAGTATACTACACTCTGGGTGGTAGCGCTGGCTCCGGATAGTACTGGTACTTATGAACAGATACCTCTTTGGAGCCATAAGAAAATTATATATATATATATAGATATATATATATATATATATATATATATATATATATATATATATATATATATATATACATATACATATACATATACATATACATATACATATACATATATATATATATATATATATATATATATATATAGATAGTTTCCCCGCAGCCAAAACCGGAAAAACATTGGAGACTACAACGAAACCTTCGAATGCAAGATCCCCAAAAATCCCAGCCAAGCCGCGTCCATGAGATGAGACTCGCGGAAACTCTCCTCGAAGTCCCTGGCTACGCCGAGGTACCGGAAAGGGTTCATATCGATCACTGTTCTTTGTAATGTACGATTTAACTCCAAACCCTAAACTCAAAACCCACAAAACCCTAAACCCCAAAATCCGCAGGACCCCAAACCCGAAATTCAGCTGAGCTTTTACAACAGTCCACCTCCGGTCCTCGCGGCTTTCAGCCTTCCTCGAACCCGGAGCTTCTGATCCGTAAACTAGGATGCCCAGTAACCTACGGTTGATGATAGAAATCCTGGGGTTCCTTTAAAGGGCTCTATTCATTAAGGGTTTCCTTTAAGGGATCTATAAGGTTTAGGGTTTAGGGTTGATATAAATCCTGCATGACCCATAATGAGGAATATACCATAATTCCCATAGTTTAGGGTCCGCAAGGTAATGCAGGATTTATACCATCAACCGTGGGAATAAGAAGGACTCCCTTTCCCTAAGGGTCCAAACGACCCGATAATTAGGTACTCGGATTTAGGATAGTAAGTATGTAGGTTACAATGTTGGAGAGTATATGATTATTGGGCACTTGGACCCTTAAGGTTTGGGTCTTGGGTAAGTTTTTGGGGGAACCTCAAAAAGGGAATAAGGGTACTACTGGGCATCCAAGTAAACTGCTAGACTCAACCCTACACACTACACTGTACACTCTACACCCTACAGGGTGAGCCCTACCCCCGAAACACTACACTCTAAAGCCCGGAACCCTACCGCCTCCACTTTCAAAATTGGTAAACTCGGCTGCGTCGCGAGATCAGGGCCAACTCCTTCGCAGCTGCACGCCGGCGGAAAAAGCGCTGGATGCGAATCACCGCGCGATTCCTTAGGGCTTAAGGTTTGGAGGCTCGAAAATCCCCTGAACCCCTAAACCGTAAACCCTAAACCCTCAGCTATAACGAACTAGATAGCTACACGTACCATAAATTCAACTACTTAACCCTGTTCACAACTGCCCATGAACATTCAACAAGCTAAACCCCTGCAACTGCATACTCAGTATATGTCTCAAAAGATCGCAGCGCTGCTGCTTGCGCTTGCTGTTGCTTCTGTTCCAAGAGAGAAATGGGGATTTGGAGTTCTTGTTGAGAATCGAAACCACGATGTAAAGTCCCGGGTTCAGGGTTTAAGGTCCAAAGTTCGAAGGTTTGAGGCTTCGAGTTTAGGAGCTTGGGCGGTTAAACGGTCAGTGCTTCGAGATTCAGAATATGAGCTTCGACTGATAGAGTTTAAGCTCTATAGAGTTTAGGGTTTAAGGGTCTACATGCAATCAGCTGTCATCATTGGAGCATCCAAAGCGAAGCTTTGGCTTCCGGTCCGGGCTGCCGGGTATACGGCCTTGGGGTCCGAGCGCGGGGCTTGGGATTTCGGTTAAGGTAAGCTCAGGGTCGAGGGTTGCCGGGTTTGGGGGTTGAGGCTTTCGGTTAAAGGGAACTCCAGAAAGTTGGAATATGGATTAATGGTAGGATCCCCTATAATTTACCTTAAAGGGGTTACGATAATGATATTCCAACTTCCTGGCTTCTACCTTAAACCCTGAGCCCTAAACCCTAAACCCTAAACCTTAAAGGTTGAGGGCTTTAGGCTTATCGTCCTTAGGCCTCTGCACATTTTTGAAACACCAGGACCGTCTTGAAGCTGTGCGACATGGGAGTTTCCGAAAATTAGGGGTACCTTATTTGGGGGTCCTTATAATAAGGGCCATACTATTTAGGGTACTATATTGGGGTCCCCTATTTTCGGAAACTCCCACATGCATGCAGACACAAGTCTACCGAGCAGTCGTTAGCTGGTCCTGCACGACACTACTGAAGCCACCGGAGCCAACATCGCCCCAGGTCACGACCGAGCCATCACCAAGAATGGCCGCAAAAGCACCGCCAGAGGCTTGGATCTGATGCACATCCCGCAGCTGACTCTGCAAAGCATGTCGCCACCAGCGATTGCAAGACCCCAGGTCACCACGGATCCATCGCCAAGAATAGCAGCAAAAGCGCCGCCGTCAGAGGCTTGGATCTGCTGCACATTCTTCAGCATACCCTGCACAGCACTACTGTCGCCACCACGGTCAGCATCACCCCATGTCACAACCGATCCATCACCAAGAACGGCAGCAAAAGCACCGCCATTGGCTTGGACCTGCTGCACATTCTTCAGCATATCCTGTACAGCACTGCTGTCGCCACCAGCGATTGCAAGACCCCAGGTCACCACGGATCCATCGCCAAGAATAGCAGCAAAAGCACCGCCGCTAGAGGCTTGGATCTGCTGCACGTTCCTCAGCTAAGTCTGCACAGCCCTACTGTCGACGCCGGAGCTAGCCAAACCCTTGGTCACGACGGATCCATCGCCAAGAATGGCAACAAAAGCGCGGACTCCGGCTTGGATCTGCTGTACATTTCTCAGCTGACCTTGCGCAGCACTACTGTCGCCACCAAACATAGCAGGACCCCAGGTCACAACCGAACAATCAGCCAGAATGGCAGCAAAAGCACCGCCATTAGCTTGGATCTGCTGCACATTGCTCAGTTGGCACTGCCCGGCATTCCTGTCGCCGCCAAGGACTGCAAGACACCAGGTCACCACGGATCTATCGCCAAGAATGGCAGCGAAGGCACCACCAGTGGCCTGGATCTGCTGCACATTCTTTAGCTGGTCCTGCACAGCACTGCAGTCGCCACCACAGTCAACATTACCCCAGGTCACAACGGATCCGTCAAAAAGAAGGGCAGCAAATGCACCACCAGATGCTTGGATCTGCTGCACATTCTTCAGCATACCCTGCACAGCACTACTGTCGCCGCCGCGGGCAGCATCACCCCATGTCACAACCGATCCATCACCAATAATGGCGGCAAACACGGTATGGCCTGTTTTGGACTTTGAAGTAACCAGGGAGAAAAAAGTATAGACTTTTATCTCATAATGGTTCCTTTAAGGAACAGCTACCAAAAAAAGTATTCAAGTATGGTAATTACTCCAAACCCAGGACCCTTGGGGTAAAGGCGTCAAACCGTTTAGGGCATGAGGGATCAAGCAGACTTTTCCTCTGAGAAAGCTGTGGGGTGCAAAAAGCATGGATTCGCAAAGTCGGGATGCCCGGCAGAATCCGAAGCGCCCCAATCAGTCATAGAATCCCTTGCAGGCTGCTGACCTACATCTATGCACGAGCATCCCAAACCTGCGGTCAGGATTTCGTTAAAGGTTCCTTGCGAGGGGTCAGAACTTCGGTGTACCTCGGTGACCCCTAAACCCTAACCCCTAAACTCTAAACCCTCACCTCTGAACCCTAAGCCCCGAACTTACCCTATCCCTCCAAGGTCATAGTTAGGGCCCTAGACCCCTTAAGGACCCCATAATAAGATCCCTGGAGGCATAGGGTTAAGCCGTGTCTCTTGATCTCTTGCCGCTTCCTGGCTCAAATTAGCGTTCGGGTTTCGGGTCTTGGGGTTTAGGGTTTGTGGCTTTCAGGGCTTAGGGTCTAGGGCTTGGGGGGTCTAGGAACTGAGGCTGGATTCGGGATGTGTTCACCCTCTTGGTACTCTATGGCATTCCATGGTAGTTTCAAGCGGGTCGTAAAGCCCAAAAACACGACCCCCCCCCATCACACTTTGAACAACATATAATGGTTGGTTCTCCTGCCACTACAGCACTCCCCCTGCGTTTGGGGACGTTTCTCCCTCCCCGCACTCTTTTGGACCTTTGGACCTGTTCCGGTAGTCGACGAAATGACTGATGCCTCTACCCATAGGCCCCATAGTAGTTCCTTTTGGGGTTCATATTTAAAATCCAAAAAGGAACTACCATGGGGCCTATGGGTAGGGTGCCAGAAGAAATTCCCTTCGGCGTAAAGCGCTGCCTCGTCGCACAGGCGAAGCGAAAGCCTTGCAAAGAAGCACCCTGCGCAACCAAGCCACTCCTGGTCCTGCAAGGGGAAAAAGACGCCTTGTCGTATCGCACTGATGCACTCGACGAAATATTTGAGAGGTTGGGCTTGGACTTCCCTTGCATAGGCCTCCTGGGTCTTGCCGCTCGGCCCAGGCGAGTGATGGCCGAGAACCAGCTGCGTGCGCTCTGAGTGGCCCGCCTTGGAATAATTAGAATAGGGTGTCGGGGCCCAGTATACTATGGTTATAATAAGGAACCCCCCACAAAATGGTGCAGCTAAGAGGGGTAGCCTTGAGCCCATGACTCGAGAACGAAGTGTCCTCCTCATTTGTGGGCTCGCTCTCGCTTCGAAAGGCCCGAAAGGTTTTGGCCCCCCAGGAGCATTTAGCCCCCCCTGCGGCAGCCGCTCTGGCGAAAGAAATATTTGCTCTGACTAGTTTCGTTGCACCAAACGAAAGGATCCTTCTCGTCCATAAACCCTTCAAAACACAGAAGCCGCCCCATCACCGGTAAGCACCTTAGAAATAGAACAGCTAAACCCGCGTTCTAAACCCCACAGCCCTGATCGCCAAGGCACCAAACCCGGAAAAAGCAATCTGAACCCTAGGACTCACAACAGGGCAAACATGTAGGGTTGTCGGTTTGGGGTTTAGGGGTTTAGGGTTTAGGGTTTAACCTCCCCGACCGAACCCCGCCTGAACAGCAACACCAGACGACATAATATAGACCCTATAAACCCTGGACCCTGAACACGCCCCGCTGCTCAAAACATGCAACTTTAAACAAATCCTGGGGCTCCAGTTACGTAAATAGTAGGTTACTAACCATGTGTTCTATCCCCGAGCAACCTACCATTCAGGTAACTGGAGCCCTAGCGAGGCACAAAGGGCTTCCTGGGCCACATTATTCTACTGTAGATCCCTATTATGGTAACCTAAACTGAACTCCTTATCAAGAACTACCCTAAACCCTAAACCCTAAATCCTAAACCCTACATCCTAAACACTAAACCCTAAACCCTAAATCCTAAACCCTAAACTCTAAACCCTAAACCCCAAATCCTAAACCCTAAATCCTAAACCCTAAACCCTGTTTCCCGTCCTGAGGAAACCTCTGATCTGGTGTTGGATCTTCACAGCGCAGGTCTCCTCGAGGTGGGTGGTTGTCAAAATTATCAAAGGGGAAAAGGAGGGACCCTTAATGGGGACCCCTACGCTATAATGGGCTATATAATGGGGATATAATAGCCATATTAAGGGTAGATACCTAGGGGTCCTTATTAAGGGTCCCTCCTTTTACCCTTGGAAATTAGGGGTCCCTTACTTGGGGGTCCTTATAATACGGATCCTACTATTTAGGGTACTGTATTAGGATCCCCTATTTTCGGACACTCCCAAAGTTTTGAAACCTTAAATATTAGGTGCCGTACTATATTAGGGACCCAGAAAGGGAACATAATTTTGACAACCACCCAGGTGTTGACTTACCTTTGGTTGGTAGGGAAGGGAAGGGGCCTTATAAAGGGGTCTATAAGGGTTACATAAGGGATCTACAAGGGTTTGGTTGGCAGGGAATGGCAGGGGCCTCATAAGGGGTCTATAAGGGTTACTATAAGGGATCTACAAGGGTACTATGATATAGGGGCCTTAACAATCCTGTAACTTACCTATGGTTAGTAGGGAATGGAGGAATGGCATAACATTGATGACTACGATTACTACCATTCGTCCATTCCCTGCTGACCCCCACCAAAGGCAAGTTGACGGAACCAAGGAGTTCAGCAGCCCCCCGCCCAAGCTACGTCTCCGAATGCGTCTAGCCTCGACGACTCCTAGGTTTGTGGGGTCTGGGGTTTTTGCATATGGACTTTGGTTTCGGTTTGAAGGAACTTTTAGGATGAATGCTTGCTCAAGTTTGTGAAGGGTTCGGGCGTCTGTTGAGGGGCCATGCCCAGTGTATTCCGGGCTTATTCAAAACTGATGTGAATGTTTAGTGGCTAGTAAGCCCAGTAGGGTCTACAGTAGTGGTAGGATCTATACGGCGTGTCGACTGGATTGCTGGGCGTGTAGGGCTGGGTTTGGCAATCTTCGTTTGAGGGTGCCTGAAGGTTCCAGAAAAGCTGGAAATATGCGAAGCGGACTATACATTGACTAGGAGTCTGCTTTAACAGCCAATTTTGGCCGATGCCCCAAGCCTTGCCTGGCAGCCCATGCACCGCACCCAGATCCTCATTAAGCACAAAGCTGGAGCAACAACTATGAACATATCTTGCCCATCTCCGGAATGGCATAAACGTCTCGGACCTGCGAAAAGCCGCCCCAAATGACACAACATGGGGACCTGTATAATTGGAATAGAGTTTGGGGTGTACATTATTGTATACTGGTACTAAGGAACTGGCACTAAGGAACTTCAGGAAGAGAACTGGTATTTATTCAAGCCCCTCAAAAACTCCAACCTCCAAACCTCTTCAAAACCACACGCGAACCCCAGGAAATCTAACTCTGTTAAAAGCCAACTCTTCACAGCTCACCCTTTGAGGAAGGAAGTTTAAGGCTCCTCTGTAATGATCACGGAAGCCCTAACCCCCCAGACCTTCCCAAATCCCTCAATTAAGGAATATACCTTAAATCATATTAAGGATCCTACTATAATTTAAGGTATATTCCTTAATTAAGGGATTTTGGAAGGTCTGGGCCCAAAGCCGTAAACCCTAAAACCCTATAAACACGCTCCTCCTCATGCGCTTTCGCATCCCTCAGGCGCTTCTGTCGCAGCCTCTCCTGCGGTAGGGCTCTGGGTTTTGTGGCATATACTGTTGTCAGGGTTTGGGGTTTAGGGTTTACCTTAAGCCGGAATAACCTACCTTTTTAGGGTCCCTTATTATGATTTCCTTGTATAAACCCTTAAAAAGGTAGGTTATTCCGGCTTAAGGTAGGGTTTAGGTTGGGAATTCCAGACCCTTCGTAGTCCTTTGCAGAACGATCCACCCCTTTTGGGCGGCCTGCATCAAGCTAGCACTCGACCCTAAACCCAAACCATCAAACCCTAAACTCTAGCATTCAAGCAGTCAAAGACCTCTGCGAAAAAGTTTAACTTTCGGGGTGCCGATTCCGAATTTCGGAGAAGTTGGGTTTTGGGCGGGTTTTCGTATCAAACAGGATCTTAATCTACGCAGGTCTCAACGTGACATTTCGCGAAAAACGTCGCTGCTACTGGCACAACGCCGAGCCATTACCCAGACCCCCGGAAGGATCTAGAAAGTAGATCCCCTAATCTGGGGCCCTATACTACTAAGGGTAGTTTATAGGAACCCCCATTAAGGGATCTACTTTTTGGATCCTCCCGGGGGTCTGGGTACTCCTACAGTAGTACACCCGAACCCTCAACACCGCACACAACAGCCCACAAGCCCCAAGAGTCACGCCTCATCCCGAATGATGCCCGATTGAAGTTGCCACTTGAGACCCTAAACCCTAAACCCCTAAACCCCTGAACCATAAACCCCTAAACCCCTAACCCCTAAACCCTAAACCCTCAACCCCTAAACCCAAAACCCTAAACTTGGCGTTGAAAGTCTATATTATGGAGCCTCCAACAATGCTCGCACAGGTCTCGCAGTGGTTGGGTCTCGGGGCTTAGGGGTTTAGAGTTGTCTTGAAGTGGTCTAATGGGTCTGAAGTTTAGGCTTGTGGCTTAGGGTTGAAGGTTTACAAGGAGGTTTAGGGTTTAGGTTTTAGGGTTTAGGGTTTTTGTTTAAACTACCCTGAAAGTCTTGCAACAAAGATAATCTAAGACAAAGACATGTCCATCTGGGCAGTTCTCCAAATTGGGGTCCCTGTTTAGGTCCCCAATATAGTACGGCACCCTTATAAAAAGGAACTCCAAAGGGATCCTAATTTAGAGACCTACCTATCTGGAAAACGAATGCTTTAGGCATAGGGTTTAGGGTTTAGGGCTTGGTGCCTCAGCCTTTCTGCAAGGCGCACGGCTTAAGGGTTTAGGGTTTAGGCTGTGCTTATCAGGCGCAGATTGTGTTGTAGCTCCTTTTCGTTGTACTAGTAATGTACCTGGTACTTCGGGCAGGGTTTCCAAGCTTCCAGAAATGCCTGTCAAATGCTATCTGCTACCCAGGAAAATGGGGCTCATCTATGCGTGGTACGTGCAAAGTGCGGGTCTATAACAAACTGCTGAGACCCTAGGGCGCCAAACCTACCCTAAACCCGAAACCCTAAACCCCCAAATCTCCAAACCACTAACCCCTAAACCCTAGACCATAAACCCTAGACCCTAACGCCCTAGCTCCAACTCCGAACCCTGGCCCAGCTGATCCTTGATGGCCGCCCCCTGGGAAGCGCTTGGCTTTAAGACGTTTGTTTTAGGGTTTAGGCTTTACCCGTAGGCCGCCTCCTAGCAGTTCCTTTTTTGGGGTTCATATTCGAAAACCTATAATCCCCAGAAGGAACTTGCGTGGGGGATTGATCTCGACTTGGTTGCTGCTCTCCCCACCAGAGCTGTAATGAAT